ATAACATTTTTCTAATATTTCTCATTCAAATTGGTATGAAACGCGTATTTTTAAATTTTAATAATGAGATCTTACATTTTAATCATTAATAAGAACATTTTTAATTGAATTAAAAGTTTGGGTTTGATTTGGTTTGAATTAATATGGTCCTGTAGATGTCTATTTTACGTTTTATGTGACTTGTTATTATTATTATTATTATTATTATTATTATTATTTATTATTATTATTATTATTATTATTATTATTACTATTACTATTACTATTACTATTACTATTACTATTACTATTACTATTACTATTACTATTACTATTACTATTACTATTACTATTACTATTACTATTACTATTACTATTACTATTACTATTACTATTACTATTACTATTACTATTACTATTACTATTACTATTACTATTACTATTACTATTACTATTACTATTACTATTACTATTACTATTACTATTACTATTACTATTACTATTACTATTACTATTACTATTACTATTACTATTACTATTACTATTACTATTACTATTACTATTACTATTACTATTACTATTACTATTACTATTACTATTACTATTACTATTACTATTACTATTATTACTATTATTCTTATTCTTATTCTTATTCCTATTATTATTATTATTATTATTATTATTAAATTTTGATCTGGTCTGATTTAGGGTGGAACTGAAGTCAATCCAATAAAAAACACTCTATTGAAAAAAGTAAGGAATTTGTAAACATATAAAGATTTCCAAATTTGGATTAGGAATATATTTCATAAGTGAAGGCATATTTAAATTGTAGTTGTAAAAATAAAGAAACAACCAAACATATTTACTTTTTTTTGCTATATAGGCTAAACGTATTTACTTATGAAAATATATATACATATATACATACATATATGTGTGTGTGATATCAATTTTCATAGAATGTACAGAGTAATACGTAGTAAAAAATAAAAAGTATAAAAAATAATCTCTTGTACGTTACTGTGTGAGCCAGTGCTTAAAATTTAGTTATTAATTGTTGTGGTTCCAATTACTAAATTTAAACTTATCAAATACGTAATAGATTTTGAATAGTTACCAAATTAAATAAGGTGAATTTTTACGGTCTTTTGTTTCCATACTAATATGCAATCAAAATTAGAATCTAATAAAAATGAAAGGTATAAAAATAACTAAATAATTGTTATATAGAATGACAAGGCATGATTATATGGCACTTTGAAAGCTCTTTAAAAGTTCCTCTTATATATATTGATTACTTATTTTCACAATACCCTTTTTATTACTCCGTATATAATCTATCACCTGGAAGAATCAATGAGTGATGTAGCATATATGGGCGGGGTTCCGCTAAACACAAATAAAATTACCCAAGAAAGAGCGCGCTAAGCACCAATTTGCTAAAATATTAGTAGAGGTTGATGTGTCCCCCACCCCCTCCCCCACCTCATTTCTCATATGTGTACCATCCGGGAAGGTTATTAAGCAATTAGTGGCATACAAAACTTTCCCAAAATTTTGATTTCATTACAAAGAATATGGTCATCACCCATTTATTTGCAAAAAGTTTGCGGAGAAATACGGGGAAAGACAAGGTGATCCCTAAGAACACAGAAGTTTTGGTTGAAGAAACACATGATGAGGTTGGAACCTTGGTAACTCAACAAGAGAAAAAGTATGAGGTACCGGAAAGCTCAGATCCCGAACAACAAATTGAAGAGGCAATTGAGGACAGCCTGGACGAGACAATAGATCCAAATCATGCACAGGTGATGGCATAAGCTAAGAAACATGTTACCCTAGAGATTTCCCTCGAGGACCACCCGATGACCAAGACTCAGTAAAAAAAAAGTCTTCAGGATGAAGGGGAGTATTTTGTCTACCCAATCTACTCAAACTATAACTCGCCTGAAAAACTGTTTAATTAGGTTCAAATAAAAATAACTTTTTTGTGAGATATTTATAGTTGATTTTTAGAAATTTATTTACATTCAGATATTTTTATATTAACAACATTTTAAACTAGAAAAAATATCATACGAATGACTCAAAGATGTTACGTTCAACTAGTAGGAAATATAGTTACACATATATTGAATTGATAGTTAACATGCATGGTTATGAAAAGATACATTATTGAGTATAGTCAAAGTCAAATTATTTCAATTTTTTATGGACGTCTAAATAATTGTTATTCGTATTACTTATATGTATGTAGTACTGCAATTTGTAATTTTTATTTACTCAGGATCAATACTATACTTATTGACTAGCTTTTGTTTGTTCAACTCATGCAAGCAGTCAAGGTTACAATGTTTGGATCACACAAATTGCAGTGGATGAGATTGTCTTGAATGTTGATTTCCCGGCAATATTTGACTCCGGTACATCGTTCACATCATTAACTGACCCGGCATACTCTTTCATTACTCAAAGTGTAAGTGCATCGTTGTGATGCTTTATGCTTAGATGCATCATGCATGCATGTTATTTGTTTCTAATACGGAATAATAATTGATTTGACCATAAGTAAAACTTCAGGAGGACTGATATCTTATCTTATATAAACACACACACACAGTTCGATTCCCAAGTAAAAGAGCAACGCAGACAACAATCTGATTGGAGTTTTGAGTTTTGCTATGATTTGAGGTACGTCATACCTGGACTTTATGTTGTGATTGTTTTCCAAATGCATTCATATAAAGTATACAATTGCCTTAAAAGAGGAGCAAGAAAAATGTTGTTTCCCACAAGTATTATGATCCCCTAAACGAGGGCCCCGGATTAACTGACGTTTGGCCGGAGGTTCGACAGGAAAATATAAACACGGGACACACACTGCACACACAAAATATGGTGGAGGAGAACTCACTTGGGTATACTTCATTTGTATACATGGTGGCCCTTATATACAGGCAATACAAAAGACAAGATAATTAATTAAACACAAGGTTCTAACTCTTTATAATTTCCCAAGACATCAACTTCCCATGTAACTTTATTTCACATGCAACATAATTAATGCTATTAATTATTATTGTTACAATTAAGATTAACTAAGCCCAACAAATTTCTCCCCTCAGCTTAATTCTCTTATGTCTCTTAGTCTGAGCTCTATCTTGCAATTTTCAAGTTTTGCAATCGGCAACGCCTTTGTAAGAACATTCGTTGTTTGATCTCTGCTTAATACGTGTGTCAATACAACCCCCATTTTCTTCACTTGTTCTCTGATGAAGTGAAACGACACATCTATATGCTTGCTCGTCTCGTGATACACTAGATTTTTTGCTAGCTAAAATGCTAACCGCTTGTCTATTCTTATTTCCGTCAGTTCCTCCCCGTCGAGCTGAAGCTAAACGACGATTTTTCTCAACCAAACTGCATGCCTCACACAGTATGACACAACTACATACTCGGCTTCAGACGTAAAGAGTGACGATTGGTTACTTCTTTGATAGCCATTGAACGCCGTTCTCCCAAGCTGAATACATATAACCTGTTTTGCTGTTACGATCATCAACATCACCTCACCAATCGCTATCGGAATATCCGACCAATTTTGACTCGGTCAACCTCTTGTACATCATACCGATCGACTTCATTCCTTGGACGTATCTAAGGATTCTTTCAACTCCCATGGTTCTTTCATGGAGCGACCGATCACTCCCACACTGAACGTTATGCCTAGCCTTGTACATGTTAGATATCTAAGGCAACTCACCGGGCTTCGGTACAATCTTGCATCAATTCGGTCTCCTTCCCCAAACTTTAAAAATTTGGTTCAAGTCTCCATTGGTGTTCTAACCGGCTTGCAATCCTCCATGTTGTATCTCTTCAAAATCTCCATTACGTCCCAAGTCTGTCATCTCAAATTCTATCCTCATTACCTCCTTGAACTCTAACACCATTTTCTCATCTCCCCATGAATATTAGGTCATCCACATAGAGTGCATCGAACATGACCCTGAACTTTTCATTCTTAACATTTATGGTGTACATTTAACTTAACGAATTCAGCACTGAATAGTTTTTGTTTCAAGACATTTAAAATATAAATGGGTATGTTTAGTCTTGTTGCGATATTAGGACCTGATCCAACACAGGCCCAAATATCCCTAAGATGCCCATATCTCCTATGGCCCGGAAGGCATAAACATTCGGCTCGTGACAGACTGCGCAGTATCAGCGGTACGGGCAATACCATATGGCCGGTTTTCCCCACTTGAGTTATTTTTCCACTCCTGCAAGCTAACTATGGCAGAATGTCCCCAGACAGTTGGCGGGAAACCTCATAATTGGTGGTAAGCGCGCGCATTTAATGCAAGACATATGGAAGATTTTATGGTTGTGAGAATATCCACTCATGGTCCACTACAAGAATTTTCGGAGTTTAGTGTCTGAAAATCCGACACTAAATCCGTCACGAACGTCACTAGTGTCGGATATTAGTGGCGGATGTTCCGACACTAAAACCTGGACACAAAATGGATTAGTGTCGGATAAATTGGGCGGAAGCAAAGTAGCGGCGGAAGTTTGTGTCTGCAATTCCGCCATTACAATTAGTGTCTGATATTCCGCCACAAAAATCCGTCAGTGATATATATTTTAAAATAATAATTTTGTTTTTTAAATATGCTTTAAAAATATAAAACGAAATATTAATTTAAAATTCCTATTTAGCATTACCAAATAACGTACATCCCCCCATAATTTTGAACAGTGTTTTTTTAAATATATAAATTATTTTTTAATAACATATGTACTTTTAATAATATAAACAAAATAATCTTGCAAGATTTATATTCCAAAAAATGTAGATCTAAATTCTCAATGCAAATCACAAAACATCTAATAGACTTTCAACACATAGTATTTTATGTATTGATCAAAAGCTTGCTAATAAATAAACATTCATCATTCATCATTCATCATTCATCAATCCATAGTGAAATGCAACATTAAAAAAACACATTAGTATCAAACTTAACACAAATCTAATGAGAGAGTTATTCATCAAGAGAGTCCATGGAGTCTTTAGAGGATTCTGATGTGGCAAAGAAACTTGGTGCATCGATCCCCATTGATTTCAAAAATGGCAGCCACGTTTGTTCAAAGTTCTTGGGCTGTGAGTCGGGTTCCTTGTCTTGAATAATGTCATCCACAATTGGCATTTCAGGGGGGAGTTGATCACCTTCTGAAATTAAGAACTCCCTCATGCGTGCATCCCAAAAAACACAAAAATCATGCAACCGACGAGCTCTTGATGAAGACGAGTGTTCTGCATTACAAACACTTACTCGATGAAGGAAAGCCTTTGAATAACTGCCCGTTCCAAGAACTCTTTTCTTGTTGCACCCAACGATTTCCAAGTATCTTGAAGATAACTTAGCTGAAGAGATATTAGGTGTTGTAGAGCTTTCCTCTTGACTTGAAGGTTCAGATTGTTGTGGGCTATCATCTTGACAAACATCGTACAATTTACTCAAAGCCTCCTATACATATAAAAACTAACAAACATAAGTACACCTACAAATAATTTTAACAATAGAAGCTACCATATGCCACATTCTATTTTAGCCATAGCTACCAATAGAAGCTACAAATATTACAGAGTTCTGCCACATTTTGTAGACCTACAAAATATCAAAGCCACATTGATATTTTGGAACCACAAAATAAGTAAACCTGCAAAAAAAAAACAACAAAAGTTCTGTGCAGGGTATTTTTTTACAACAAAACTTCTATATGTTACACTTGTTATGTGACTATATAGCGATCCAGGGAGTTCCAAAACTGTCAAACACAAAAATAGCATAAATAGAAATCACTTCTTTGGCTTGTTGGATGCAAATTCTACTTAAGAATTCTGTCAAACACAAAATTCATTCACCAATGAATCAAAACAGATTAAAAGTGTAAAACACTAAATGAAATCAGTTTCATACTTTCCTCAGGCAAAAGCTTATACACACAAACTGTCAAATTTACTTAAAACAATTGAAATCACTAAAAAAGGGAAAAGTTAATATCATTAATCCCACCTATTAGTTTGAAAGCCCTAAAACAGTCAAAAGTTCATAATTGCCATCCGTCTTTCCATCCCAGATGGCCTGGTCTCCATGAACTGTTGGTCGAATAGCATTCAATTTTTTGTTATCGTTCATGATAAACAATGTCAAATTTGAGTTTGGATTGACCAAGTTAACTTTTTCAAATCTGAAAGTCAAAGAAAGATGTTAAAATTTGAAGATGGTTGAAAACCAAAATACGAAGTAAAACAAAATGAAGTTGAAGTGGGAAGGAGATAATGAGATGTGGTGGAGGGAGAACATAAAAAGAAGAAATACAATAGAGAATAATTAATGGTTGGAGCAATCCTGGATCTGGAAAACATGGCTACAACCCAAATCACTTGAACTCTTCTTCCTTATTAGTGTGGTATCCGTCAATTGCATCAGAAAGGAATAAATAAGAAGAAAGGGGCAGGAGGGAAAAATGAAAAGAAAACAGAAAAAAATGCAAATGGGGAAGATGACCGCATGCATAGCTAGGCTTGACTACTTGAGTCGTCCGTCCTGCATTTACTTTCCTTTGTTTTCCTTTTTCTTTTTTAATTTGTTTACCTGTTTAGTAAGTAGTAGGTCACATCGGATCAACATGAGAAGACAACCCATAAATTTCAGATTATTTTAGAATTATCCATACTTGAGATTAATATGAGAAGACTGTCAATAGTTGAGATTATTCGTGTGAATTTTTCCCTAAAAAATGCAACAATTTTTTATCATCACAAAACATATCATTTACAGGAAAAAAGAAGCATATTATTTCATAAAACTAAACAATATTACATTTTAAATACTTCTAGTTTAAGCTTAAATGTAACCGTTTTTGTAGTATATAGCAAAATATGTACGTAGTCCAAAGTAAATTAAAGAGTAAGTGAATACCTTTATCACATCGTGTGAAGCACAAGTAATAAGCTCTCCATTCTTCCTTTTGTCTGGGTGATAAGTACCATACATCTTCACAGGATTTATTTCTTTGCCTGTGGCCCTCAACTAAAACAAAGTATCAAAATTCATATAAGTATGATGAATCTATTAGTATATAATAGCACTCAATTAGCAATGCTTCTTATTAAGAGGCATTGAAACTGTGTGAACAAAACAAAGTGTTCGAAAGAATATCTAAATCAATAAATACATAATACCTCCCTATCAGCCTCTTACTAAAAAACTTTCCATTCTTATTATTAGTTAAAATGAAAAAATAATGCCATCACATCCTAGCAATCTAAATTTCGTATCCATGGAAATCTAACTGCATTTTTAATCTTTTTACCATGAATAGTACTAAATTAAATGTCTATAGAGATTTATTTTGGTCAACTTTATAGACATATAATATAGTCACTGAATGTCACTTTTTTGAAAAAATATTAAATTAAGTCATATTTTTGTCTTTTGAATTTAATTTAGTACTATTCATGGGAAAAGGCCTAAAAAAATCCATGCATAGTGTCTTTAGGGCTTTATTGACTGGAAGTGTCTTTTGTGCAAAATGCTAGACTTATTGACTTCAATCAAGCAATGGTTTAAGTGCAAGTTACAACTGCAACGTGCTTTGCTCTGACAGTGTGCCTTTCTCATTATAGTACACATTAAAAATCTAACTGCATTTTTAATCTTTTTACCAATCAAACTTTTTTGAAGTTATCTATTGTATTGTTTTGTAACACATGCATTAACTAACAAACCAATATCCCATTACAAATTTAACCTTTTATTTTAGTATAAAATCTCATATCTGCAGCATTGTTATACTCAATAATCTGTTTTTTTTAATAATAATACTCAACAATCTGTTACTACTACATGGAGTAACGAGGTATAACTAAAAATAAGACCAACATGCTAAAGCCATTTAAAATCTTACCTCCTGTGTAGCTACATCAACAGCAGCTCGGGATCCCCCATACTGCTTGCACCTATCCCCACCAGCAAGGCGGTTTTTTTTACCGGACTTGGATGCCCTTAGGAACTGTTTAGACCTCATATATTCTTTCACAACTGACCAAGTGAAATCGTTCACAGTTACAGGCCGCTTGTTCCTTGAAAATTTGAATTAGTTAGACAAACAAATTATGTAAACCATGTATCTTGAAAGAAAAATTGAATATTCAGAAGAAAAAAAAAACAAAACATTTATCGTTCTACCTTATTCGAGTCAAAATGTTGGAGTAGGCATGTTCTTTCAAATAATTTATATAACCTTCTTTTATTTGCTTATCACTGAACTGCTCAATATCCCAAGTAACTAACCTCTGTGCAATAACAAATAAATGATTTAAGAAACTAAATAATTAAAAAAAGATTTACTACAGAATTAAAATAACCTTAAACTGATCCCAATAAAGCTTCTTTGTTCTCTCTGGAACCCATTTCCAATGTTGGCCTGCAGGGTGCAAATTATATCTGATCTGTTTACCCACAATTCTCTGGAATCTCAAACTTCTTTGGTTGATAACTATGTTTGTTAGGCTGCATTTTAATGGATAACAAAAATAGATAACAAAAATAAATTCAAGGATTCAAGGATTAGAGCAATCAAAACAATACACATCAGTTCTCTTTTACAAGGTATTAATAAGCGCAGCCTTTTTATAAAGGTATGGACCAACTTATGATAAATTCTGAAAAACTACTGTGATTTAATAGAAGTCCCACAATAGAAATTTATGTTTCAAGAAGATTTCCAGTAGCTCAATACAAGCCTCACACTAATAATCAACTTGGCATATCAACAAACACATAGAATGCATAGCTTTATAGTCATAAAATGTATGAGTAATCACTCAGGGAGTAATACTCCGTAGAATATCACTCATGAATTATACACGTATGGAGTAATACACTGTATGCTACCATTTGTAAATTTCAAATCTCAAATTCAAATCACTGCTACGTTCATAACAACACATATATTGAAGGGATGTACAACATCTCAAATCCAAATCACCACTACATTCATAAAAAAATACACATATGGAAATAATGATACCTTTTTTTGCTCCTGTCCTCGAACAATACTCCTGAGGATTGTCACAGTCGTTCCGCTCCTTCAGAGCCTTGCAAGAAGTTCTCTCGTAAAATTGGGATTAATATTTGGAGGACCAGGGATTATCAGCGCGGAAGGCTGAGAAGAATAGAAGCGGTGGTGGAATAGACCTGGAGCAGTGAGAAGAATGCTTCCTATGAGAGGTGGATCTCCATGGGATAGAGCAAAATTGTGGAAGGGGTGTATGAGATCTCTCTATGACATTGTTTAGGGTTTCTTGAAATGGTTTAGTGGAGAAGTATAGTATACGGATGAGTGGAGGGAGTTTTGGAATTGGGGGAATGTGGAGCGGCCTAGCGGGACATCAAAATTTTAACCAAATAATTGGCGGAAACTAGACACAGATTTGGCGGAGCCTGAAAATATTTTCTTACACATTAAAAATTTATGATAAAAAATTTCAATCCAAATTTCCAATAATAAAAGGTTTGATAACAAAAAAATTAAGTGACAGTTTGGCAACATTGAAATCGGCTGAATTCATTGATTCTGCTTAAATTTTTGAAGTTCTGGCTGAAGTGGTTCTATTGGCTGATTCTGCTGATTTATTAAAAACTATATGTAAAATATACTTTATTAACAGAGTAATCATATTTAAGTTCATATACTGCATTATTATCAGCTGGTTCTGCTGATTTATTTTTTCTTATTATTACACAATTAAGCGTCTGAGATCAAAAGTTACGTGTTTGGTTAAAAAGTTTGCTAATAAACAAAGTCACCAAACGGGCTTTAAATGTTCCAATCCAGATTTTCAAATGGTCTTTTAGCATTTTCAATTACTTTTTTTATTTATTATTTTTTTATGCATTTCCAATCTAGATTTTACATTTTGGATTTTTTATTCTAAAATTTCATTATTATTTAAAGAGTATGTTTTTTTTTAATGATAACTAATCACTTTTTTTTTTTATAATTGAACTATAACACTATAATTCATAGTCAAAATTACAACGAAAGTAAGGCATCCCCATGTGGTCTGTGATTAAAGCTTTTTTTATTAAGTGGGGAACATCATTGATACTGTTATAGGAAATAATACTGCTCTGACCGATCAAGTTATTGTGGGCAAATAGGTGCGCAGACCAGTTGGCTTCCCGTAGAGCGTGTCTGAACGTTATGTTAGCACAGTTGGCTTTCAACCGCATATCTTCTAAAATAACTCTCCATCTTCCTAAAGAGTATCATTTCAAGTCATAAATTTAATATAGGAGAATGAACCATTTCAACTTCTTAATATGATAACTTTAATTTTTAACCATACATATAAAATGTATTGCTAATTAAACGGAATAATTAAGAATTACTTTTTAAAATAAATGGTAGTTTTTATTCAAAAAAAAATAAATGCAAGTTTTTTTTCGTAAATAAACGGAAGTTTTAGAAATCAGCATCGTAGGATTAAGATGTTTACACACAGTGCACAAAGCGACTTTATTCGTCTTGATCATTAGGATCTTCGTTATCAACAAGCTCGTTGTTGTATGTTTCATCTACACTTGGGGGGGCATCATTGTTTGGTAGTCTAGGAAAATCCAACACTATTTCGAATGATATCCCCGGTTCGTTCTCTTGATATTCTTGTCCTTCTTCTTCCTCATCACTCAACTCCCCTCCCTCTTCTTTCTCCACAAAAGCCCGCGGCATGCATTGAATAACAGAATGCCACCTGTTGATTCTCTTCTTTGTACTTGGATATGAGACATACACAACTTGATCAGCCTGGGATGCTAGGATGTAGCAATCTAAACTACGAAGTCGAAATTGACTGTTCACATCCACGATCTTGTATCGTGGATGGACCCGTACACCTCTATCTGAAGGTTCGAACCATTCACATTTGAAGACAATTACTTTGTAATCCTGATATTCCAACTGAATTATTTCTTGTATTGAGCCATAGTATTCGAGTGTTGATCCATCATAACTTGTGCACTTGACCATAACCCCACAGTTGGAGGTTGTTCTAACTTCAGATCTTGTAATAGTGTTGAATTTATAACCATTTATATTGAGTGCCTGGTAGGTTGTCACATAGGGAGAAGGAAATCCAGATAAAGCACGAACCCACCGAGGATGATCGGTCATGTCATTTTGCACCTAAACATAAAACATGTTGTGTCAATCATTTTATTCAACAAAAATACAACATAAGCATATCCTTTTTAAGAAATAATTAACTATAAAATCTCACATGGTGATAAAACCAAAGAGGGAATTCTGTTTGTAACAAGGCATCAAAGGAACTTGTTGACCTTGTTGTGTTGAGGAACATTCTGTAAAAAAAATTGGAAAAAATATTAAACCATATTTCACATATTTGTGCATGTGTGTAATAAAAATACTGGACTACTTAAAAAAAACTACTATAACTTACTCTCTGAATGATTCAATCTCCGGACAGTTTCGCAATACATATGAGTGGACAGCATTGGATTCATTTTGATCCATATACCGCCTCGTACTTGCACCAATCGTTTTTGCCTTCTGTGCAAAAACTGAAACACTAAAATCAGTGTTAATCATGCACCCATCATCAAACCTGGGGATACGATGTGCTTTTGTGGTTACATCCTCCGGAAAGTAATAGCTTGCAAATGTTCCCATTTCACTTTGCAAATAACCTTCCCTAATAGATGCTTCAACCCTAGCTTTATTTCCAACTTTTGTCTTTAGCACCGATCCCAAGAAACTACAAAGATTGTAAGAAATAAGATATCAAGTAAAAAGTCCCTTCGGGGACATCCGATAAAATTGGAACGATACAGAGAAGATATCAAGTAAAAAAACATATGACTATATAATAAGTTTTAACATCTACCTTTCAAAACGATACATCCATCGATATTGTGGAGGCCCCCCAAGCAAAGCTTCATCTGGTAAGTGCACAACAAGGTGTTCTGTAGGATCAAAGAATGAGGGTGGAAAAATCTTCTCCAACTTGCACATGATCACGGGGATATCTTCCTTTAGCTTCTCAATGTCACGGACCAATATAGTCTTTCTTGTTAGCTCACGAAAGAATAAGCTAATCTCCGTAATGGCCTCCCAAATCCAATCAGGTAGCATCTCTCTAAAAGCAACCGGGAGTAGGCGTTGCATGAAGACATGACAATCATGGCTCTTCATACCAAATACCTTAAGTTTGTCCATTTGCACACAACGCCCTAATCGAGATGCAAAACCATCTGGGAACTTTAATGAATCAATCCAGTTGATCAAGACACCTTTTTGTTCATTTGAAAGGGTGAAAGGAGCTTTAGGGTATTTCCCCCGAGAGTCTCTCTCCATGCTCGGCCTATGACAAATTTGTTCCATATCTATTCTCCCTTGCGTATGATCCTTCGATTTTCCTGGTACTCCCAAAATTGTATAAAAGATATTTTCAAAGAAATTCTTCTCTATGTGCATGACATCAAGGTTGTGTCTTATGAGCAAATCCTTCCAGTACGGGAGATCCCAAAAGATGCTACGCTTCTTCCATCCAATATTTTTTCCAACAATTGCATTATGCTCCATACCACCCAATTCAGTAACTGACATAAAACCATTTACCTCATCATAGCAGTACAACCCATCCCTGTGAATCGGAGGACCATACAAGATTGATTTACCTTTAGTAAAGTTATTCTCATCAAACCGAAATGGATGGTCACCTGGTAAAAACTTCCTGTGATTATCAAACCAACTATGCTTTTTACTGTGGGGTAGCCAGAATGCTTCAGTAAACTCAGTACAATATGGACATGCAAACTTTCCCTTTGTGGTCCATCCTGATAACATCGCATATGCTGGAAGATCACTAATCGTCCATAGCAAAATCGCTCTCATATTAAAGTTATGCTGTGAAACTGCGTCATATGTTGTGACACCAACCTCCCACAATTCCTTAAGCTCCTCCACCAGTGGTTGCAGGTACACATCGATCCCTTTCGCTGGATTCCTTGGTCCTGGAACTAATATAGTTAAAAATAAGAATTGTTGTTTCATACACATACCTGGAGGCAAATTATACGGTGTCACAATCACAGGCCAACATGAATATTGTTGTCCAAATTGACCAAAAGGTTGGAACCCATCTGTGCATAGACCAAGTCTCACATTTCTCGGATCTGCAGCAAACTCTAGATAAACATTATCAACATGAATCCACTCCTTTGCATCCGACGGGTGGCGCATTACTCCTTCCTCACTGTGGTGAAATTTATGCCACCTCATATCATCTGCTGTAGCAGCTGAAGCATAGAGTCGTTGCAGCCTAGGAGTAAGAGGAAAATACTCCATTTTTGCAAGTGGAATACATTTATTTGACTGGTTGCTAATGTCGTACCTTGCAGTTGAGCAAAATTTACATTCCAATAACTCACTATCTGCTCTCCAATATAACATGCACCCGTTCGGGCAACAGTCGATGGATTGATGGCTCATTCCTAACACAGATAGTTTTCTTTTGATTTTGTTGAAATTTGGAATTGGATTGTTTGGGATGCTTGATGGGAAAAACCTATTTACGAATTGAGAAATTCTATCCATTGCAGCCTCTGATAAATGCATCTCAGTCTTTATATTCAGCATTTCTGTCATTGCACTCAATTGCGTCATCGGACAGCCATCGAAACACGGTTGGCTCATTGTATCCAACATTTCATACATTTGTGTTGTGATAGGACAAGGTTCATCTGCAGCCTCACCGTGATCAAATCCCATTGGGAGTTCATTCCTTATTGCATCTTCAAACATTGATTTGTACGGATCATATTGCCCTTCAGATGTGTTGACATGAGATGAGCTACTTTCATTCAAATAAACTAATCCATTTGAATTATGTGGCTCCCCATGTGCCTCCCATACATAATAATCTTCCACAAAACCCTTTTCAAATAAATGTTGCTTAACAATATCCCATGTCATCCATTTTTTGTTCTTGCACTTTCTACAAGGACATGCAATAACACCAGTTGGATATAAGTTTACCGCACTTTGGATAAATTCGGCAACTCCTTCCTTAAAATCTTCATTTACAACTCCACGTCTTGCAAGCCTTTTATACATCCATGATCTATCCTGGCTCATTGTAAAACCTATACAAGATATAATATTCCACAATATTATTGATTCATATCACTAAATACTTTTTTTGAACGAAATATCAATAAATATTCATAAGCACTATTTAAATTGTAATTATTGTTTTTAAACCGTAAATGAAACATCAACCTTTTTTGTTTATATTTCTTAACTAATAACAAATTAAAATTTTCATGTATATATTTATCATTTAAATTACTCAAACTAGGGCCCACAATCTCTATATTTTAAAACACCAACAAACTATTATACATACCCATTCACGTGTTGAACATATACTTAAAAAAGAAATATTTGTAATATCAATTAACCTAACATTAAAAATTCATCATATTTCATGTAAATATAAAAACATGAATTAACAACTAAAGTAATATCAATTTTTTACTATCACTAATGAAATGGGCCGGTTGCCAAAAAAATGAAATGGGCCATTTTTTCCAAACATTATCTAAATCTACCAAAAGGACTATTAATCTTTAAATTAGTTTATATAATTAATTATTCAACAACATGATTTGACAAATTCTAAAAGATGGACTAATAAAGAAAACTTATTTAAAACATGGACCTCTGTTTTCAAAAAAAAACATGGACCTCTAAGAACTCAATATAATTTGAATATTTAACAAAAAAAAACAGGATGCCATATATTTAGTTGAAATATTTAAGGATAACATTATATATAACTAATTAATTAATATAAGAAAATTAGAAATAGTAAAATTGAGAGTTCTAACCTTAAATCCCGTCCAGATCCATATTTTAGAGAGATGAAGATAAGATGTGGGTGTATGGAATGATGTGTCACTCGTTTGTGGTGTATATGTACTTCTAATTTTATGACAGATTTTAGTGGCGGAAAATCCGTCACTAATATCTGACACTAATTAGTGGCTGAAAAATTCCGACACACAATCCGCTACAAATTAGTAGCGACCAATGTCCGCCGCAAATTACTGGCCGATAGAATTCTGCCATTAAGTTCCGACACCAATTGTTGTCGGATTTAAAGACCGACACTAAAATCCGACACTAATTTCCGAAATTCTTGTAGTGGTCGGTCATGTCACCCTCTCTAACTACTCACTCATAGTATAAATATCAGCATTTATTTAATTATAAAGGTTGATAGACAATTTATAAGTTCTCGCAAGTGCACAAGTCACGATATTATAGTGCTCAAGTAAGGAAAAAATCCACGAAGAAAATGCAACAAAATATTGGAAAATGGTTAAGGGTATGTTTAGCACAACTAGCTGAAAAGATACGTTTGAGAGCTTTTTAGTAAGTGTTAGCTTTTAGTGACTGAAAAGATCTTAAAAAGAAAAAGTTGTAGCTGTTTGGTAAAAAGCTGACTACTAGATTTAGATCTGTTTGGTATACAAGTTGTTAGGACAAATTAACACTAAAAGTCACAGACTTTTCTCGGATGACACTCCCGGTAGCATCTCAAAAAAACTCTTTTATATTTTGAAAAGCTCTTAAAATTTGTCATGTCAAACATACAATTAGAAACTTTTAGAGACTTTTTAAATAGTACACGAGTTAGAAGGCAAAGACTTTTGTCTACCAAACATGCACTAAATAAAAATGGAATTAAATTAACTAAAGAAATGAGTTTTGTATTTGTTGAGTTGAAACTGAAAATGTAAAGCTTGAATTAAAATGAATGCCAGGAATATAATTGAATAAAAATAAAGTGATTAAATAACTAATGAAAAAATGATTGAGAACTTAACAAGAGAAAAGATAGTCCATGATTATGATTCTGTCACCACTGTTTAGTATTTGTGATTTAGTTAGTCAATTAGAGTTGAGAGTTCGTTCTAGACAAAAATATTATTCCCTATGTCATCCAGAATAAGTCATTCATTTTAACTATTAATCAGTAAAGGGTTATTAATTAAATAGTTAAAACTCATTATTAAAAGAAGAATTACGAAAACTCGATTTAAGAATCAAATAGATAATCATAACCTAGGACCTGAAATTGACCTGAAATTGAGATTTACGAACACTCACGGCTAAATTGATCCAAAAGAGCTTGAACTATAGGCATGACATGTACTCTATTAATATACTAAAAGTCTGAAACAATTTTACTAATCATACTAAAGTGACCTGAAATTAACGTAATCAAATTAAGAGAATATGAACAATGGATAAAACTCAATCAATTGATATAACTAAAATCACAATTAATACTAAATCATAGCAACTTCATCATAACCTAGGACTTAAGAATTTAGCTGCGCTACTCATACCAAAATGCTTCTGGATTAAAACAGAGTGAAATTGCATTCATCTCAACCGTTATAATGAGCCAAAGAATTAATAGTAGAGAAATTGGTAATCTAATTTTACTGAGTTGAAGGAAAAACTAGACAAAGTATTACTAACAAATAGTTCCGGTTAAGATAAAACTAATTGCTATGGAGATGGGAAAAATCATCCAGGTCGGCTGCCACTGTGAAATCAGAACCTTTTACTCAGCCATTGAACAGTTTCGAAAACTGCCGATCGTCTCTGCTGCATTCTTCTTCCAGTCCAGCTTATCCTCCCCCTTTTAGCTTCCGCAATCTTTCCTCCGTATATCCGGAAGAGAGAGTGATCGAGTTTTGTTCCTTAATTTTCGGCTATGGGACTCCTCTTTCCGTTTCACTTCTCCCGCAAACTTTGTTGCCGTTTGAGTTCTCGTCACTGCCCTCTTCTCTCCCGATTTCGATTTTTTTTTTTTAAGAATTATTTGCCATAAGGAAACCTCCTAGGTGCAGGTCTCTTTTCTTAAGAAAAGTTTTATTATCTTAAACAAAAGTTAGTTATTCGGAGTATTAAACTTTGTAGTACTCGGCTTCAAACAAAGGAGAGGTAGGGGCCGGCATAGCTAGAGAGAAGTCCATCTAGACTCTGGCCGTTTATGTATAATCCTTGTTCATGTCTTTTTGATGCAGTGAAAATCAATCATCATATCGGGTGCCTTTATTAAGTTTCAGAATGACAGGTGGAAGCACATTTGATGTGCTTTTTCCAACGCTGAACTGGACTCTGGATTTTGAGGTACTTCCGGTTATCAATTATCATGCACCGTGCATATGTCGCGATTAACTTGTAGATACTTTCTATACAAAAGAACTCGAACATTATTTACTGTCACTCTGTAGGTTGACGGAACTTTTTACTGCCTAGCAATTTCAAAGAGTAAGGATGTGAACATCATTGGACGTAAGTACTAAAAATTGTGTATTAATACTAGGTTATGATTTAGTGTCACAACTAAAATCACAATTTAGTATTAATTGCTATATGATAATGTTAACTCATTATTTCCTCAGAAAACTTCTTTATCGGATATAATATGATATTTGATCGCGAAAAACATGCCTTGGGATGGGAACCATCGATCTGTAAGTTTTCAACCTTAACCTTAGCTCGCCACCTCATACTTTTGTGTGATATATATCCCTAGTAAGATAACCAGAGTCATCGTCTAATAAATTTCACCATTTTCCACTTGCAGGTGAAAAGAATCAATTCAACATCACTACGTATCCTAGCAAAGGACGAAGATGTCCTCACCAAACTTCTGTTGCGATCATAACAATAGTGGTTGTTTTGGGGTTTCTAACAAGACATTTGTAAGGCTGACAGACAATGGATAATGGCTTCAAACAAAACTCACAAAATAGGATAGTTTTAGTACTTTAGCCTTCAGTACATATAGTAGCTAGTCCTACTAATCAGTGTTTCCATTTTGCAATATAGAGTTTTTTCAAGTCCTATTTTTAATTGCTCGAGATTGCTTGTTTGAGTTGTTTCTGGGACAAAAATATATTCCAAACTTCATTTTCTTCAAGTAAATTTTTTAAAGGGAAGTTCTATTCACAACCCTTGAATTGCTAACCACAGCCACAAAATTAAATAATAAAAAATAAAAATAATACAAATATCTTAATTGCCCTTAATTTATTTAACAATCGTTAAGTGAGCGTTGTTAACCTTGCTACACGAAGGCTTGAAAAACCTGGAAGCGCGGCAGGACAGAAACAATCGCAGAAACCTCGGAAGAAGCGCAAAAGGCCAGAGAAGTAGAAACCATAGAAGGGAGAAAGCAAGAAACGCTGAAAATTCGATCAGCCAATATTGATAAAATTGTAAAGTATTCTAAAAGTGCGAAACTGTTGAAAAAGAGAAAACCCTTCACTAAAAGTGAGATGCACATAACATGCATGTCTTACATTGAATATACGAATTACACATATATCACTACTAGAAAAATGTCTTACAGTGACACCAAATTAGTGTCACTAAAAGCTTCTGTGACACTAAAAAAGTGTCGCTGAATGATATGCACTAGTTAGTAGTGCATAAATGTATGTTTTTGTGTTTATTTTGTGTGGATTGTTTACCCGTGTTAGTTAGTTTTTAAGCAATCGTGTTCATTTGTTTGTAATTGATTTTAATCATTTTTAGTAAGTTGTAAAGTAGTAGTAGAGTTATTGGCAAGGAAAAGAAGTGAAAAGAAGAAGAAAAATACCCAGGTGCACAGACTCGGCCGGGTCAGACACTTCACCTAGGCGGGTTTGATTTAACACATGCAGGTACTCAGGAAATTACATCACCCGGTCGGGTGAGGTATTTCACCCGGTCGGGTCCAACTTGACCCAGAACACCAGAACGTGCCGAAGATCACCAGAACGTGGAGGATATTTGATTTTGACATGCACCCGGTCGGGTGGGCACTTTACCCGGTCGGGTACTGACGTGCACTTGTCGCGAAGTGCACTCAAAATAAATTCAATACTAACACTTATACGTAGTATAGCGTAGTAGAGTTCGTATCCACAGGGAAAGGAATAATTCTCTTTTTATAGAACTAGTAAATAAAAGGGGGGTTTAGGA